TTCATTTACAGAGAAAAGAAGGTCCGGGGAAAATCTGTCGATGTAAAAATCTCCATACTAGTTCTTTGTGAATTTTTCTTTTTTTTCTACTTTGCACGTTTTGTTAGAAAATGTTTATTTACAATTTATTCAAGCTGTTTAAGGTATCTAATATTTTGAAACTTAATTTCCATGATCTAAATATTCTTAAAAATTTAAAGTTTGTTGTCATTTGGAAGTGTGTAGGCCCTTCTTGCATTATTATGCTTTTATATTATGATTATATATTCAGTGATATAAAATGGTCTTTAAAATGACAATAATATCGCTTATCGCAATTATTTCTGGGGCAATATATCACACAACAAAAAGTTGTTATCGTGACAGGCCTAGCATGGAAATCATCATTTAAGCTAAAATTTAGTGTTTGTTAGTGATTTAAAATTCCATGGTGTGCATGACTGCAGTTGTAAGTTTTCTAGCAGAAAATGAGCCTGAAAATGTAGAAATTAACATGAGAGTCCCCACACCCTGGATCAGTCAATGAAATAAAGAAAGATCATAGCATTTCACATGCATTTCGACATGTAGGCTTATTTTAAAATAGACTAAGACTAATATATATATGGTGTTCATTTTTTTAATGTTGTGTATAAATTATATTTATTTTTACTTGTACATGTTAAAGAAATAATAAAAAAAATCAAAATAAAACTTCAATACTAAACTGTATAGCCACTTGATGTCTGCATAGCCTTTTATATAAATATACGGGCTGTAATATCTAGATGGTGAAACAAGACACGATTTTTTTATAGATTCAAATAGTTTTTACTATAGTTTTAATTAGTTCTCATTTTAAAGTCATAGTTAAATAAAAGTACTTAGATATTGCTTTTTTGACTTACATATGTAACAAAGTAATCCAAAAGTAATCAGATTACATTACTTTTATATTGTGGTACTTGCATTAAGTTACTGAATACTTTTTTAATGAAGTAATTTGTAACTGTAACGGAATACATTTTAAAAGTAACCCTCCCAACTCTGGAGACGGAACACGCTGGAGAGGGACGTATAGAAGAGAGGATAGATTAGGCATGCGGCAGAAAAACTTCAAAAAACAATGCAAAAGCAGAATTAAAAACGTATACAAAAGCAGCATAGTTCATATAACTCATGCTCTATATTTGAAGTCTCCTGAAGCCAAATACAACCAATTTTGTTAACTATATAAAATTATTTACTTACAAAATTAGATTCAAAAGAGCAATTCATTCACAAACGAATCAGATACTGTTTACTTTCCGAATGAACATGCAGAGTTATAAGGTGGATATTCAGATTTCCAGTGAATAACGACTTAAATTTCAGTCTGTTTGTCACACGAAACTATCATATGGCTTCAAAATTAGTGCATGAGTTCATTTCTACAATACTTTTGTGCTTTTTGTAATTTTGGATCTTGATATAGGCCTGTCGCAATAATCAATATATTGACTTATCGCGCAATATATGTACATGACCTCAATCATTTTTGGTGACGCAATATATCGCCCATTATATTTACTTAAAAATTTATGTCACCATGTTTTGTACATTCCACTTGCGCCTGTGTCTTTTGCAGCTTCTCGTACATAACGTGGTGTAGTCATGAGGTGCTAGTTCAAATTTAAAAAATGCTTCTACAAAAAAAGTTGAATCTGCAGATATGTCCTTGTTTAGAGATCTGTGCATTTGTGCATACGGACATCTGACTGCTAAGTAGTGATTGGTGTTTGTTTTTCAGCAATAGTGTGCACCCTTCATTTACAGAGAAAAGAAGGTCCGGGGAAAATCTGTCGATGTAAAAATCTCCATACTAGTTCTTTGTGAATTTTTCTTTTTTTTCTACTTTGCACGTTTTGTTAGAAAATGTTTATTTACAATTTATTCAAGCTGTTTAAGGTATCTAATATTTTGAAACTTAATTTCCATGATCTAAATATTCTTAAAAATTTAAAGTTTGTTGTCATTTGGAAGTGTGTAGGCCCTTCTTGCATTATTATGCTTTTATATTATGATTATATATTCAGTGATATAAAATGGTCTTTAAAATGACAATAATATCGCTTATCGCAATTATTTCTGGGGCAATATATCACACAACAAAAAGTTGTTATCGTGACAGGCCTAGAATACATGTAACGGCGTTACGTAATCAGGATACAAAAATCTAGTAACTGTAATCCGTTACAGTTACATAAAAAAACTAAGTATTCAGATTAGTTACATTTTGTAAAAGTGGGAATACTATCAGGATTATATTTGTTTAATTTAAAATTAAATAAGTGAGTATTTTGACAACGCTATATATTTAGCGCTGCATAGTTCCTGGTTCTGTTGACACATGTTGACTCACGTGAGCCGCCTGCTGGTGCGTGCGCAAATAACACCCGTCTACAATTATTATTCTCAAACGCGGGATGACTGAGACGCTGCTACAGTAAATTAATTACGATGCTTCCTGCTGTGAAAAACGTTTTCATGTCTGGAAATTTCACAGTTATTTTGTTTTCAAAGAGGATAAAGGAAATAACAGTTGTACAGCGTAAGCTATGCATGAAGACTCTTGCTTTAACAAAGGCCAACTTGAACATTTGCAGGTATGAGTCCGACTAGCATGGAAATCATCATTTAAGCTAAAATTTAGTGTTTGTTAGTGATTTAAAATTCCATGGTGTGCATGACTGCAGTTGTAAGTTTTCTAGCAGAAAATGAGCCTGAAAATGTAGAAATTAACATGAGAGTCCCCACACCCTGGATCAGTCAATGAAATAAAGAAAGATCATAGCATTTCACATGCATTTCGACATGTAGGCTTATTTTAAAATAGACTAAGACTAATATATATATGGTGTTCATTTTTTTAATGTTGTGTATAAATTATATTTATTTTTACTTGTACATGTTAAAGAAATAATAAAAAAAATCAAAATAAAACTTCAATACTAAACTGTATAGCCACTTGATGTCTGCATAGCCTTTTATATAAATATACGGGCTGTAATATCTAGATGGTGAAACAAGACACGATTTTTTTATAGATTCAAATAGTTTTTACTATAGTTTTAATTAGTTCTCATTTTAAAGTCATAGTTAAATAAAAGTACTTAGATATTGCTTTTTTGACTTACATATGTAACAAAGTAATCCAAAAGTAATCAGATTACATTACTTTTATATTGTGGTACTTGGATTAAGTTACTGAATACTTTTTTAATGAAGTAATTTGTAACTGTAACGGAATACATTTTAAAAGTAACCCTCCCAACTCTGGAGACGGAACACGCTGGAGAGGGACGTATAGAAGAGAGGATAGATTAGGCATGCGGCAGAAAAACTTCAAAAAACAATGCAAAAGCAGAATTAAAAACGTATACAAAAGCAGCATAGTTCATATAACTCATGCTCTATATTTGAAGTCTCCTGAAGCCAAATACAACCAATTTTGTTAACTATATAAAATTATTTACTTACAAAATTAGATTCAAAAGAGCAATTCATTCACAAACGAATCAGATACTGTTTACTTTCCGAATGAACATGCAGAGTTATAAGGTGGATATTCAGATTTCCAGTGAATAACGACTTAAATTTCAGTCTGTTTGTCACACGAAACTATCATATGGCTTCAAAATTAGTGCATGAGTTCATTTCTACAATACTTTTATTGTGCTTTTTGTAATTTTGGATCTTGATATTAGGCCTGTCGCAATAATCAATATATTGACTTATCGCGCAATATATGTACATGACCTCAATCATTTTTGGTGACGCAATATATCGCCCATTATATTTACTTAAAAATTTATGTCACCATGTTTTGTACATTCCACTTGCGCCTGTGTCTTTTGCAGCTTCTCGTACATAACGTGGTGTAGTCATGAGGTGCTAGTTCAAATTTAAAAAATGCTTCTACAAAAAAAGTTGAATCTGCAGATATGTCCTTGTTTAGAGATCTGTGCATTTGTGCATACGGACATCTGACTGCTAAGTAGTGATTGGTGTTTGTTTTTCAGCAATAGTGTGCACCCTTCATTTACAGAGAAAAGAAGGTCCGGGGAAAATCTGTCGATGTAAAAATCTCCATACTAGTTCTTTGTGAATTTTTCTTTTTTTTCTACTTTGCACGTTTTGTTAGAAAATGTTTATTTACAATTTATTCAAGCTGTTTAAGGTATCTAATATTTTGAAACTTAATTTCCATGATCTAAATATTCTTAAAAATTTAAAGTTTGTTGTCATTTGGAAGTGTGTAGGCCCTTCTTGCATTATTATGCTTTTATATTATGATTATCGAAAAGAAGGTCCGGGAAAAAATCTGTAGATGTAAAAATCTCCATACTAGATCTTTGTGAATTTTTCTTTTTTTTCTACTTTGCACGTTTTGTTAGAAAATGTTTATTTACAATTTATTCAAGCTGTTTAAGGTATCTAATATTTTGAAACTTAATTTCCATGATCTAAATATTCTTAAAAATTTTAAGTTTGTTGTCATTTGGAAGTGTGTAGGCCCTTCTTGCATTATTATGCTTTTATATTATGATTATATATTCAGTGATATAAAATGGTCTTTAAAATGACAATAATATCGCTTATCGCAATTATTTCTGGGGCAATATATCACACAACAAAACGTTGTTATCGTGACAGGCCTACTTGATATTCTTTAAATACACCTCTTTGGTTCCACAGAAGAAAGCAAAAAGATAATGGGTGAGTAAATTATAACAGAAATTAACATTTTGGGAGAACTATTCTTTTAAGCAAAGCGAAAGAACGGAAAATGAACATGTTGCAGGTCAAACCTGCTTTACCTGCATGAGCACCACAGGCTCAACATGCCAACTGCTGTGTTACAGCTCTGACCAGACCATTACTTTATAAAGTTCACCCCATTCAACTACAAACTCGGTGCTTCTTGTAGTTGGGCAGATCTTCACTGGTATAACCTGAAAATGGGTGCTGGATCACAGTACCTCTCATGCAATCCTCTATCCTGTGCACCAGCTGGTAGGATTTGCAGCGGTCCAGTAGAGTTCGGATGGCTGGAAGTGGGTCAAGAATGATGGTCTCTGGGTGAGCGTCAATATAATCCTGCAAGACCAGTGGAACAGGTCACAACAAGGAAGGCGTATAACGTGACTAACTGAAATCTTTGAACATTACTTACTGGTGTTGTTAAAAGGCAGTTATCTAACATGTACAAACTGGAATGCATGAATGAACTCACCACACATGCAAAGACATGTACACATGAAGCCCGTTACACTGCTGTTATGTAAATGAAACAACCTCACAGTCTTGCATTCAGTTGGCATGACATAACCACTCGCTGTCTTTCTCTCCACTGCCCCCATTCACTCCAGTCATATGATAACATTTGACAGAATATGAGGAAATGCACTCTTTTCTCATGTGTTTTACCAATTCCATTAGTCATTTACTGTCATTGATGGGAAATTTAGTTGCTAATCCCAGTGTACTGATTGTTAGATCAAATCAACTCGCACATCAGAATGTGTGAAGACACATTCTACCAGCTCTGATTAAATTGGCAAAAAAGGTTACACAACAGCAAAAAAAAACAAAAAAGATCTCCAGTTTTCATAGGGTTTAAAAGTGAATATTATTTCAGTGTTCAGATCATTCTGTGTCTTATGTAAATCTATGTAATATACATTAAGTGCATGCTTAGTGTTAGGAGAGAGCTTTGTTTAAGAACATTAAGAGGCTCAGTGCGCTTACGTTCTCATTTAGAGGCGAGTACCTGAGGTGAAATTTCAGAAGACGACAAAACAAAAACAAAGTTGTAGGATGGGAAACTGAATTTAAGTTGAAAGGTCTTTTGTGCAATATTATCATAGTATATAATAAAATAATATATATATCGAAATATACACACTTGCAATAATTCAAAAGTTTGGAATAACTATAATCAAGTCTTTTTTTATGTTTGTTTTTGAAAGAAATCTGTTCCCAAAGGCTGCATTTATTTGATCAAAAATACAAAAAAAACTGTAATATTGTAAAACTACATTACAATTTAAAATAACTGTTTTCTATTTAAATACAGTTCAACTATAATTTATTCCTGTGATGCCATGCTGAATTTTCATCAGCCATTACTCTAGTCTTCAGTGTCACACGATCCTTCAGAAATCATTCTAATATGCAGAATTATTAACAATGTGGAAAACTGCTGCGCTGCTTAGCATTTTTTTTGGAACCTATGATACCTTTTTCAGGATTCTTCGATGAATAAAAAGTTCAAAAGAACAGCATTTATTCAAAGTAGAAATATTATATTATATTGTGTAATTTATATTAAATAATTGTGTAATATATACATAAATAAATTATAATACAATATGTAAAGGATTAAAAAAATGATATTACATTGTGTCAGTATATTACTGCACCAACACATCCCTATAAATCGAGGTTGAACCCCTAAAACTAGATATAAAAGAAAAACTACATGTAGTCTCTTTCAAAAAATAAAAATGAGACCGAAACTTTATGCACTATTAAAAATGCAAAACCTTTCTCATAATGATCAATGCTCTGTGATTACTGCTTTTAATTTCCTTTCACTAACAAGTGAATGACAAAGAGATCACATTTAGGTAAAAAAATAAATAAATCATCGGAGTCTGTGACCGTCATACACTACACGATTTTCTAACAAATCTGTCAACTCCAATCTGCAAGTTGGTTCTGACTTTCAGCAACAAGCGTCAACTTCTCAGTTAATCGGGGCAAAAATCTGGGCAAAAGTTGTGTAGTGTATTCCAGCCTTGAATCAGAGTGAAATTCCTGCATCTTAACCAGAGCTGTAGATCGAGGCAGGGGCTGAAGACCACAGCACACATGCTCAGACAGGCTCACCTGCACACGCTGGACCAGCAGCAGGGACTGAGTGTCATTCTGATCCGCTTCCAGGATCAGGTCTGTTAGCTTGTGAATGATGACGTCCAGGGGACCCTGCTCCTCTAACGGCTGACTCAGGTCAAGCTGCAGAGAACGGGAAAGGTGAAAGGTCATCATTTACACTCATGAATCTACAGCAGTGCTGACAAGGTCAAAGGTCAATGATGAGTTTAATACAGATTAACACTACATGTACTGAACAAATTGATGTCTACTGATTTTACTGTCT